TTCCTAATCTTGTTCCACTACTGGCCGGAGAGCATAGGGTTTCACAACGCAAGACCAGATGGAGGAGAGCCTACTGTAGTGATGGAGAAACAAAGCTTCCTGAAGCATTGAGGTTTTCCTGCCAATTGTGTCGAAAATAGGTTCATTACTCGAGGCTTTGATCAACACAGTGTACACTAGTGGCACCAGCTGGTCAAAATAATTTAGAGCAGCCAAATTGTTATAGATGACGTCCCACAGCCTTTTAGTCTCTACCAAACCAATACAGTTTCCACTAGTTACCACAGACACAAAGTCAAAATTGGCTATATCATACAAATTCATGAAAGCAAACATTTGCTTTTGGTCTTAATTTAAGGTTAGGGTTAGGCATACGGTTAGCAGTGTGGTTAGGGTTAGGGTTAGGTTTAAAATCACATTTTAAGAAGAGAAAATGTGGCTGTGGCAACTAGTGATGACCAACCAATACAGGTGGCTGTTTGACGAAACAAAGCTTCGGACATCATTGATCACGTGCTTCTGATAAAGCGATACAGGCAAAGGCACACTGCTTGGAAGTACACTGCCTACGGTTACTACAAGCTCCACCTAGTTGATCTACATGCGTGCATGTGGGTGGAGTGGGAAATTTGGAGTAGCGGATACCTTTTGGTAACATGATATCCTTGCCGGTCCCATTCTCATTCACAAGGGGGCGATAGCAACATTTTTATTTTTGTCTTTTCATTTTGTAAACAACAAGGAAGAATCACCTTCCCTTGCTAGTAGTAGCCAGCCAGTAGCTATCTGGCAGCCTGGCTAGCTGGCTTTAGCCTGGCTAAAAACATAGCAAGCTAGCTAGCCTTTTTAGCTTCCCACAAAAAATATGCCCTATGCAAATATTCTTATACTTGCTGGTGTAACCTAAAACATCCCAGTTTGATATGCTACTTGTATATTTATTCCCATATCAGCTAAAAATAGAACGTCATGTTTTGGTTGCGGTCACATGGCTAGCTAGTTGGCTACAGCAGGTTCTACTATTTCACAATAGCCTGTAGTCACTAGTTCAAATCAAATCAAATCAAATCAAATTTTATTGGTCACATGCGCCGAATACAACAGGTGCAGACATTAACAAATACTTTTGGGGTGATTTTGGTTTCTGTAAGAGAGAATGTGTGATGAGATATTACTAAATGTAGGCACACCTCTAGTCAAAACTAATAATGTTATGACTAATAGTATACTAGGCTTAGATGATATTAATCAAATGTGTTTATATCCCAGCAAGAGTCTAGACTGGTTCCAAACACCCAGGGAAAGGGGAAGTAAAGCACCGCAGTTAAACTATTGTGATAATAGTAGACTAGCTAAGATAATCAAATGGTTATAGCAAGAGATGCCCCAAAACAACAGGAAGGGGAAGAAGCTTGCGGATATGTGGAGCGAAAACTAAGGAATGACCTATGATAGAACAGGTGTGTTGTGTGTGTGTGTGTGTGTGTGTGGTGTGTGTGTGTGTGTGTGACCTGATGGTCAGGAGAGCAGTTTTCCAGTGGAAAACTACAGGCCGCCTAAAGAGGGGTGGGATTTTTCCTCTGACGTGTGCGTATAAATATATTGTACAACCATTTTGTTTCAGAGCGCTCTCATTAATAAATATGCTGACCATTGCAGGATTGAGTCTTTGTTTAATTTATTTAAACTAAGAGATTTACAACCTTTTGGGAATTATTCAGAGATTTAAGAAGTAGTTGACTTCAACCATTGAGATAACAAAATTCTCGTGACAGCTTGGTCCTTTCGAGCCGGATATCAATACCCGTCCTCTGTCGTTCCGGGGGACACCGAAAACCGTGCACGGGCAGATGATACATCCGTATAGACAAAGTCCTGCCCTCTGAAATTGGGGGTTCAAATACAGGCCGGTGACAACCTGGAAACGACAGAAACGGTGACGATATCCAACCAAAATTGAGCTGCAAAAATAAGGTCAGTAATCTTTATTCATTGGATTTTGGGGGAATTTAACTGTAACCTGCAGTAAGGATTTATGGAGTTTAAATTTGCTGTAGTGAGGTTCCGTCAATAATCCACAAAGGGATCGACATCCCGGTAGCCCGTTTTTAGACGTTTATCTAGAGAAAACCCAATGTGCCAGTATTCTACATAAATATAAGACGGGGGGGCGGGTGTAAGATCAAAAAGTCTAAGTACAAACTCCACGTCATGAAATTGGGGCCGTAATTTGTCTAAGTACAAACTCCAAGTTGCCGATAGTGTTAACCAATAATCTTGTGTGAGACTTAATATTTGCTCAAAAGTCACATCTAAGAATACATTCCAAAGAAAGGGACTAAAATAGGTTGCGTGAGAAAGAATGGTTGTCCCATCCGTTTCATGAAACTGGGGTCTTAAAACACTCTGGGTTACAGGTTGAATAATTGAAATGGTTAATTACAAAAGTTGATCATAATATTTGCTCAAAAGTTGCACCTAATAATAAGTCCAAAGGAGAATAATTATTGAGTGAATTATTACAAGATTTATGAAGTCCAGGGATAGGAGAAACCTCCATTATGTGACCAGGTGGAGGGAGAGGTATGGTTTTGAGGGACGTCTGGACGCAGATAAACTCTAATCCATGCTTAAACAGATGCATAAGGTGTGTAAAGGGAGAAGAGAGAGAGAGCGAGTGGAAGGGCTAGATACAGCCAAGGTGTGGCTCTCGGAGCCTCGAAAGAGAGAGGAGGGTGAGAGACAGAAAAATAAAGTTAGAAAGGAAGGTCTAAAACAGAACCCACAGCTCCCCCTGTAGAACGGTCTGGATCCAGATTATACCCCTAAATAAATTATGTTTTTGCTTTGACATTATGGGGTATTGTGTGTAGATTGATGAGGGAAAAAAAACAATTTAATCAATTTTTGAATAAGGCTGTAAAGTAACAAAATGAGGAAAAAGTCAAGGGGTCAGAATATTTAGCAAATGCACTATGGCCTATAGATCATGTCAAGGAACCAAGTGACTGGTCTCAATCTCCAGGTGGAAGAAAACTGTGTCAAATGCCAGAGCGTATTACAAGGAGCCACCTCTTGTAACAAAAAATTATATTGCAACACTGCAATCGGCCCAGTCTATATTCTCTGTAGAGGCCTTTAGCGATTTCTATGCATGCCTTGGAGCATTAAACATAGGATCACTAGAGCCTCTCATCAGAGATCACATTTATTTTGGGAGATTGCAAAATATGACCTTTTCATTCAAGACAAGAGAAACATATGGTTTCAGGTGATAAAACATGTTTTGTTTAGTTACTTTTTCCTCAACTTATACCTTACAAATACCTAGGTGTCTGGTTAGACCGTAAACTCTCCTTCCAGACTCACATTAAGCATCTCCAATCCAATGTTAAATCTAGAATCTGCTTCCTATTTCGCAACAAAGCCTGCTTCACTCATGCTGCTAAACATGTCCTCGTAAAACTGACTATCCTACCGATCCTTGACTTCGGCGATGTAATTTACAAAATAGCTTCCAACACTCTACTCAGCAAATTGGATGTAGTCTATCACAGTGCCATCCGTTTTGTCACCAAAGCCCCATATACTACCCACCATTGTGACCTGTAAGCTCGCGTTGGCTGGCCCTCACTACATATTCGTTGCCAAACCCACTGGTCCAGGTCATCTATAAATCACTTCTAGGCAAATCCCCGCCTTATCTTAGATCATTGGTCACCATAGCAACTCCCACCCGTAGTATGAGCTCCAGCAGGTATATCTCACTGGTCATCCCCAAAGCCAACACCTCTTTTAGCCGCCATTCCTTCCAGTTCTCTGCTGCAAATTACTGGAACGAACTGCAAAAATCTCTGAAGCTGGAGACACTTATCTCCCTCACTAACTTTAAGCATCAGTTGTCAGAGCAGCTTACCGATCACTGTACCTGTACACAGCCCATCTGTAATTAGCCCACCCAACTACCTCATCCCCATATTGTTATTTACATTGTTATTTATTTTGCTCATTTGCACCCCAGTATCTCTATTTGCACATCATCTTCTGCACATCTATCATTCCAGTGTTAATACTAAATTGTAATTATTTTGCACTATGGCCTATTTATTGCCTTACCTCCATAACTTACTACATTTGCACACACTGTATATAGATTTTCTATTGTGTTATTGACTGTACGTTTTGTTTATTCCATATGTAACTCTGTGTTGTTGTTGTTTTTATCGCACTGCTTTGCTTTATCTTGGCCAGGTCGCAGTTAAAATGAGAACTTGTTCTCAACTGGTTTACCTGGTTAAATATAGGTTAAATAAAAATAAATAAAAAATAAACGTGTTTCTCTAACTTTATAGCATTGTCAAGCTAGTTTGCGGAGCAGCTAGCTAGCTAAAAGCTAGGCTAGGTTGAAGAGACCACTGTAGCTAGCGACCCGCACCTAATAGTTATCATCAAAAACAATTACCATCACAATAAACTTAAACGGGAGGCAACAATCATATAATAGAATTGGCTTAACAGCCAATGTGTATTAACATTATTTAACATTACTAGTACTCAGTTATAGGAATGGATAATTGTTTACAACTTGCTAGCCATCCCATAAGGCCATTACCAAAAACCACATATTTCTATCTTCTTCTGTGGTTTTGCTAACTTCCTGTTTTTTTTACAGACTCTGGCTGGACTGAAGACCACACAAAGTTTTGAAAAATTGTAAGTATGCGGTGGTGGTCTTGCAACAGAGCCTTCAATGGCAAGGGGGCATTGCGATTCCACTCCGTTGTCAACGTCCACATTGAAATGAATGACATCCTTTGCAATGTACATCCGTTGCAATGTAAAGGAGTGCTTATGGTTAATGGGAACAAGGCTTTGTCTGAATCGGGCCCATTAAGACTGCAGCTCCAGCGGGAATGATGCTGATGCTGCGTCCACGCTCAAGTGTCTCTACTGCGCAGTCGCCGATGCAACAAACGCAGTGAGAGAAAGGAGATGGGATAATGGCCCTCGATAATTTAATTTTCGGACAATGCATCCTCTATTTTTTGGCGTTTGTGCTTGGTTTTATTGCCGTAGTGGCTCTCTCCGAAAACACGGAGGATTTTCATGGAAAATGCTTGCTTTTCACGCGTGGTATGTGGCAGAATGAGAACATTACAGTCTCAAAGCAGCGCTTTATCATTGAGGAGTGGGGACCGGAGTCTTCCTGCAGTTTCATCACTTTTGTCGGGATAGCATCTCTCATCCTGTCCGCAGTGCAGTCATGGAGACTGCTGTTGTTTCTTTTCAAAGGCCACGACGAGTGAGTGTCCTAATCACTTGTGGTTGTTGTGTTTTCATTTGCATGTTTTCTTCGTGTTTTTTCTATCTGAATGATTTAAATAGAGAAAAAGAGATGGGGTGTGATTCAAGTAGCCCATGCCCATCCACTTCCACACCCGAATGATCAGTGATGCTGCTTGATTAAATACAGCAAAAATCAATTCCGTTAGCCTTTCATTCATTTGCTTTTTCTGAGGTCTACAGATCTAGGCCCCATAAAACAAAAACCTTATGTTTCGCTGCTTCGCTCCATAATCAATATGTTCAATCAGCCGAGGGAAGAAATGCCATTTTCTGCCTTTCAACCGAGGTGCAATCACAGAAACTGCATTTATGGATAGGCCTTATATAATGATTAGGCGTCTGCAATCTTTATAAAACAGTTTTGCTACTCTGCAATGCAGAGGTTTTCATTAGTCTGTCGTTGTTTCTTTCTGACATAGGGTGGACAGGTTAATCTATCCATCCACTTAAAAAACATGTATCTAAAACTAAGAATGAATGAATTCTTGGCATAAAGGTACACCACCAATCTCTTTATATTGGTCATATTGTCCATTAGAATGCAACATAGTCACAGTTAAATTAAAACCTACAGTATCACTCATGCATTTGACAAGATGGTTGGATCAAGAGTCTTAAAAAACACCACAATCTCCACAGATATCATCTAACCAAGTCCAATACATACACTAGGGAAGTGTGCCAGGGATGGTAATGACAGAAAAATTATATTATTGAAACTGTGTCTTACATTCTCTCTCTCGCTTTCTATCTTGCTCTTTCACTCTCTCTCTGTGAGTGCAGTTCCCTATTCAATGCCTTCCTGAATCTGGTGATCAGCTCCTTGGTGGTGTTCACAGTGTTCCTCTCCAGTACCATCATCAGTGTGGGCTTCAACCTGTGGTGTGACGCCATCACAGAGGGGGGGAGCATGCCCAGCAGGTGAGGCTCATGACCCCTTCCTCAACTCACACTGTCTCACATGGCTCTTGGACAGTCCGGAGAGTTCTTTTCCTAAACTAACTTTGTCTTGTATCTCAGCTGTGAGGACCTGCAGGACACTGATCTGGAGTTAGGACTGGACAACTCCTCGTTCTATGACCAGTTTGCCATTGCCCAGGTAAGGGTCAGACGTATGTATAGTGTCATACACTGTGTTGATATCTTAGACTGTACCGGGGACTTATTAAAAAATGTGCAATGAACTTGGAAACCCCCAGCTCTTGTTGAAATCTGTGAGGCTATGTAATATCTGTTAAACATTCCCCCTCCCCCGTCTCTGCTGTGCAGTTTGGTCTGTGGGCAGCGTGGCTGACGTGGCTGGGCATCACAGTCATGGCCTTCCTCAAGGTCTACCACAACTACCGCCAGGAGGACCTTCTGGACAGTCTTATCCACGAGAAGGAGCTGCTGCTGGGACACTCGTCCCGCCTGGGCTCCGATGCCAACCAGTTGAAGAGTGGCATGATCTAACACCCAGAGGGCACGTGCACATTAGTGACACATATCCTCCTATCCTACCCCAACTGCCATAATAGATAAGCCAGCCCCTGTCAATCTACACTGAGTGTACAACATATTAGGAACAGCTTCCTAATATTGAGTTGCACCCCCCTTTGCCCTCAGAACAGCCTCAATTTGTCGGGGCATGGACTCTACAAGGTGTCGAAAGCGTTCCACAGGGATGCTGGCCCATGTTAATTCCAATGCTTCCCATGGTTGTGTTAAGTTGGCTGGATGTCCTTTGGATGGTGGACCATTCTTGATGCACACAGGAAACTGTTGAGCGTGAAAACCCCATTAGCGTTGCAGTTCTTGATACAAACCGGTGCGCCTGGCACCTACAACCATACTTAAATATTTTGTCTTGCCCATTCACCCTCTGGATGGCACACAGACACAATCCATGTCTCAATTGTCTCACGGCTTAAAAATCCTTCTTGAACCTGTATCCCCCCCTTCATCTACACTGATTGAAGTGGATTTAACAGGTGACATCAGTCAATAAGGGATCATAGCTTTCACCTTGATTCACCTGGTCAGTCTATGTCATGAAAGAGCAGGTGTTCTTAATGTTTTGTACACTCAGTGTATATATAATCAAATGAAATCCATTAACTGTGATTAGAGTGCATGGTTATGCCTTGCTTGGACATACTCCTCTTCAGATATATGTTGCCTGATTTTCCAGTTGAAAACGCTGCTGTTGACAGTAAAGCGCTGTAGTGTAAAGAGGTTCCGGCTGTATTGTGGAGCTGATTCAATCCATTTTGTCCACTTGCTATATTAATATTTGATAATGAGTTACTGCTGACATGTCTTCCCCTTCAAGGCAACACGCTGGAGCGTAAATGAGCTCAGAGAATCAAGGCCATTTAATGAGGATAGAGATGGTGCATTGAGATTTACTTTGACCATGATTTCCCATTTAGCTGCACATAGATGATGACTCACACAGGGTGGTTAAAGGACGGTTCAATTGAATCATATTTTCTTTGTTTTCATTTTTTGCATGTACTGTGTGTATGTAGACAGTGTGAGCAGGCTGTAGTTTTTTTGTGTTGGGCAATATATTTTTTTAGTAACAATCTAATACATTTATGATAGGCTTTAAGTAATGTGTGAATTATTTGCATGCATGCAGCAACAAAGTATGATGTGTGATTTTCAGTCTATTATACAGTATCTACAATTACCAAACATTATTTTCCAAAAAGGAAAACTGTACTTTGTAAGAACTTTGTCAATGAACTTTCCTTAAACTGACTGGAACAGATCTCAGGATGAAATGCCTGAAAGTCACATAAGTAGCTGAATCAGTCTATCTGTTCATCCTGATAATCAGAAAAGCTCAGGCTGGCCCCTCCTTTTTTATTTGACACAATCTTCACGCAAATTTTTTTTTGACAGTGAGTGAGAAATCTGTAACATAGACGGGATGACACATTATCCAAGGCCAGTTCTGAGTTGTTGTGCGTGAGGAAATGTAGCCTGCAGTGAGTGTGGAAAGATGGATCATCATTTTATTGCACACATGCTCACTCACTCACTCACTCACACACACACACACACACACAAACAAATCCAAACGCATATTAAACTATAAAAAGCTAGTCACCACCCTCACTGACTTTGGTATGCAATGACAGTTTTATTTAAAATAATTCAATTAAATAAAAAAGATAGAAACTAAGAAATCCTTCTAAAAGGCACTTCTTTCAAAGTGACCACATACAGATTGTCAGCAGTGAAATGCAGCTACTAACCAAAATGTGCAGATACAGGCCATGTTTACTTGCTAGGTATTTGTATTGCTAATGACAGTAGTTCCCCTTGAGAGTGCAGAGAAAACCTTCAGTCTCAGTATCTCTTCCATTCAGACATTGGTTGCATCGTATTGCTCAGATTTTTCCAACACTGACTCTTTCCTATAGTTGTGTTCCCTGAAAGCTGTATAAAGAATATGTATTATTGGAAACAATGTATTGTGTTTTATTGCTCAGATTGACATGTACAGTATATGATAAACATCACATTGCCCTTTAAAGCTTAACCCATTTAAAGAAGTGACTCAATTTCTATGTTTTCAATATTTGAATGGTGCCAATTACTGAAGGTCCCACAGTGATGATTCAATTAGTGTCATAATGTTGCTGCATCTTACCGTAGACCATTGGACCGTACATTTAATGTACATTCCTTTTATTTACTTTGTATCATAAACATTTGCTCTAATTTAAAGTTAGTTTCAATCCCCAAATAATCCCCAGCTTTAAAAGCGTTTGACATGAAGATTCAAACCTGAATATCGGATCAATCAAATAGAAATGTAACAAAAGCCCTTTCAAAATGTACTGTAAAGAAAATAAAAGTATTTGATATTTGAGTAGATGCAGATATGCAGTATAGAATAAATAAATAACATTTAGAGGATATTACTTGTGGAATTTTAGCATTTACCAAGAGGTACACTGTCTAAATCATAATCAGTCATTGAATTTGAGTACATTCCCAGGAAAGAGAGCATTCATATTATTGTGCTGAAGTTGTCGTCTTTGTCCAACTGGGATCACAGCATTGATCTGACCTAAAAATGGTCAGACTGCAGTATTTATGCTGTAAAAGCAAGATGGCTTTGTCAATCAATTTGCTAGTTCAACCTGTCACTGTGAATTGAAGCAGTCCTGTGTCTGTTTCAGCTATCCTTTTTAAAAGGTGGTCACATTGTGCTTGACTCAATCCATAATCCTTATCTTAGACAGTAAGAGTGTTTTTTGCCAATTCAAAGCAGTTTTTCACATTTTCTACATTCAATTATGTTCAATATCAAGGCGTAATATTGTGATAGTCCTTACTATACGGTATATACACATTCATATCTGTAGTAATCTTTTAAGTACACAAAATGACAGAGTATTGTAATAAAAGAAATACAATTGATTTTACATTCCATGAAACATTTACTCACATACAATAGATTGCGTCAAGAATGGAAAATGTAAATTATTGTAGCAATTAAGTGAGCATAACCAGTGAGCGTCAACATTGCTGATGTGCAAAACGTCTTATCGACAAAACAAACATGACAGCATACCCACCACCTATGTACATACAGTGTACAGGCATGGAGGATACATACTGTATCTCTGGGATTATACATTTCTCCATATATGGGTGTGACCGTAGCAGTAGGGGTGCACATCTCAACACCATAGATAGATAGTCAGTGTGTATGACTGAGGTGTGCTTGTGGACCAGGCTGGGTAAGGACACCTTAAGGGGCATATAATGAGGAGGAGAGTGAATTCAGTGCTCCACGTCTCCCCCTCTGGTGGGTCCCAGTCACTGCATGGTTAGCCAGATCCAGCAGCCCCACAGCAGCTGTTTAATGTGTATCAGGTAGACAGCCAGTGAGGCCTCCAGCTCCTCACAAACACGCTGTGGGCGCCGGCGGTCCGTGCTGTACATGGCCACGCCCAGCAGTAACATCAGCAGGAACAAGCAGGTGAACAGGGCCAGGTGGGGGCGTGGTGGTGACGTGTCATAGGCTGTGAACCAAAAGAGACCAACAACAAACTGTTGAATGATTTATCATTTGTAAAGGCTTATCCAGTCTGCCCATTCAGGAGTGAGGGGAATGGCATCTTCCTGATGTCAATTTGAATTTTCATTTTTTATTATTAGCTAGAGGCCTGCTTTTTTGTGTTTTTGGTTATGGCTCTTTTTAAACTGTATAAAAAGTGCCATACACCAGATACTGGACTGGAATATGCAATATCAAAAGTGGGTACAAATGGCCAGTTTGTTTTGCATGTTCCGGTGCCCCGGGTGGGTGGAGATTTCACTTAATGTGCAAACTCCACCCACCCGGGGCACCGGGCCATGCAAAACGAACTTGCTGGAGGGAGGAATACCCATGCATCACAGTACAATATTAAAATGTCTATGATGGGCATATTTTCACATGAATCACCACACAACAGTATTCCATACACAGGTTTACTATAACAAGTCAGTAATGACCAGTCAGTGAAGGTGACACTTGCTTCATGCTCTTAGTAAGTTAATAATTGGGACCACTCTCAGACAGACTTACCAACTAAACAGTCATAGTATGGAATGTCTGCGAAACCGATAGATAAGAAACAAGTAAATAACAGCTTCACATTGCACCTAGACATCTGACTGTAGACAACAGTACACACATGCCTGGTGGTGTACAGCTACAGTGGATGGCTGCACCTAATTAGCTATCTCTGTGTCACAGATTGTATGCTGACTACTTTGCATGCATAATTCATCAAGAAGTGTAAATCACTTGCTCATGTTTGTTCTTTTTCTAAATTCAGCATTAAATTAAATACTACGGTATCCTCAAGGGACAGTGTTTTACGATCTAATCACAGGACTTTACTGTTTCTTGTTCATTTTCTTTTACAGCTAAGCCATAACAATACAGACCCCTCTGAGAGGTACATTGCCCCATAGAGAATTAGGAGAACAGTAGATTTAGCAGTATATCTCACCAATTTATTACTAAGCATTGTTATATAGATTTTGATGTGGTGAGTGTTTAATTCTCCAAAACCCAGTGGAATAGAGCTGAGTCAGTCCAATGATAAATGTGTTTCTTGTTTCTGCAGACCAAGGCCTCCCAGTGCAGTAAAGAAGTCAGAGTGATTGGGTAGAAGTGAGAATGCACCAGAGGGCAGCACTCTCCATCAGCTATGGTCTGACACACACACACTTTATCTCTCCTCGGCTCATTACATGCACTGAATGGGCTCAGACTTTTAAAGTTAGGACAGATCTAGTCCTCATGGCCTCCATATGTTTGGTATTTGATCTCTTATCCTGCTGTCTCTCTCACCATGCACAGTGGTCTCAGGCTCCCGGAACCGGACCCGCCGCTCGCCTTTCCGTCTGTGGCTGGGCTCTGAGTCTGATCCTGAGCCAGACCTCTTCAGTATGGACGTGGGGATTTTACCGTTGGTGACCTTAGGAGAGGGTGAGATATCATTAGAAGTGAGGACACAATGGACACCAGTTTTGAGTACATTTCCGTGACTGGAAAAAAAAACGTCTTCTTAACAAAAGTGTGTCACCTTGGGTTTTGGTGTGTCATCCAGTAGGCTGGGGTCTTTCCTGTGCCAGACCTCGGAGTGTTTCTCCCGATGGGAATGGGAATGGGAGTGGGAATGGGGAAGACCGTTGTTGAGTTTGTCTCTGAAGGACTCGGCAGCAGCAAACCTCTTGGACAGTGCTGACACACACTGGCCCAGGGAGTCTAAGGGGTTAACCATGAGTAAACAGTCTCTAACTGCCAATGGAACCTGGAGTCAAGGTACAAGGTACATGCAGACAAATACTGGGTAGATAGATGAAAGTTCAAAATACAAAAACAAACATTTCTGTGTTGACTCCATCATGGCCATGCACACAGTTACAAAGCAATACACTAGCTTTGTGTTATGACAGCTGTGCAATAGAATGAATAAGCAACATGTAGACCATCCAACTATCAATAAAGGAATTTATAGGAGGCGTGCAGTACACACCCATAATGACAACTCTATGACAGCCATTTTAAGTCACAGAGAAATCACGCTTTGTGTATGAAACAAAGTTAAGGTTACACAGAGAGCAAACAGAGTCATTTGAATGAAACGTGTACCCTGACAGTGACCTGGCTTATATTGCAAACACAAACTGTGTCCTTGCTTCGCTGTTCTCTGTATTTATTTACAAATGTATTTTACCTAGGATTTGGCCAAGAAGGTCAACTGGAATGAATAACAACGTACGATGTGAACTGTTGTCTTAGCAACCCAGGTTCTACATTACCTGCTCTACTGAACACCCCAGCCTTTGGAAGCTGACTCAACAGTTGATCTTAACATCTAGGGCACATTTTACCCCGTGCAGACCTCTCTTCCCTTAAAACGCCAACTTTGGGAAACGATAGAAAATGCATCTTCCTCTTCATGCAAGCGAAGCATGAGCACAACATTACAGTGGCCTCAAACTGTCAAATTCGCAATAAGTATTTTTTGTTCAGCTCTATATAAAACCACTTTGATGTCCAACAGCACAGTGAGTGTGTTTATTAATGTAACATTTCCTTGATCTGACATCGTACAGTACGAAGGCTAACTGAAATTCTGTAAGCCACTTACAGTGCGGCGTGTGAGCTGAAGCAAAGAGGTTAAGTTGTTCTTGGGCTTGTCATGCCACTGGAGAGTGCTTTGTGTAAACGTGGTGACAAGGTCTACACTACATCACCTCTCAGTGTACAGTTTTAACCACAAACTATCAAATATAAAAACTCTTCCTCTGCCTGTGTGCTGTAAGGAAGGAGGCTTGTATGTCATACTGACAGTACAGTACATGCTGTCACACTCAGCCATGTAGTAACACTCATGACCATTTCAGTATGTCTATAGCTTTTCGGTCTTTACTCAGCATGGCTATGGCTTTTACCTGAGTATTCTGTCTTGCCGATCTCTGCGTAGACGGTGGCCAGCAGCTCCAGACTCCTGTCTGTGATGGGGTGGTCATTGCCAAAGGCCCTCTGATGGATCTTAGTGGCTTTCCCACTGTACTCTAAAGCAAGATGAGGTCTGAAAGACAAAGGACAGGAACACAGAGATAAGTAACATTTTATGGATTATTTTGTATCAGTAGTTCACAGTCCTTCCTGTTTTGATCTATGCCACATTGTATACTCATAATACTTTAACTAGAAAAAGCAGTTCATGTCATTCCAAATAATCAATCTGGGCTTGGATTTGGGCTGAAATCTATCTGGTCTGGCACCCTTGGTTAATTTAAGCCCACAAATAAGTACTTTCAGTGAGGACAACAATGGTTGACCTTAATCAAGCTTAGTGGGGCGTGCTGCATTGTCAGGTGTGCGGATCGATGTCGGTGTTTGGAGCCGAGCAGCATGACAAATCCAAACACGCGTGGGCTGAGCTGTGATTAGATTTGGAGCAACGAGGCTGGGCCGACAGGGCTGTGGGCTCAGGGCCAGAGACCCAACCTTATGAAGCCAGTGGAAACGTCCAGGGCCTGCCAACTGCCAAGCGGCTGCCCTCATCCTGGCTCCAGGGTGAATTACAGACGTTATGGCCCCCACAGGTTGGTTTACTCTGCACCCTTCCACGGCTATCCCCCTCTGGAACAGAGCTAAGTGGGCATAGCATGACATGACAGATTCCAACTCTCTATATCTGTATCTGCCCGCGGCTAACACCACACAAGGTCATTCATCACCCTCATGTGTAGCCATAGATGAGAGCAAGCCCTTCTTCCCTTCAATTAGTAATGGCCAGGTGTCCTTTTGCACTGTTTAGAACGTCCTTTGAGGACATCCTATCGCCAAAGTATAGCGAAGCCCTTCAACGGCCGAATGACTTCCTCCCACAGCGTTGAAAGATTCAGGAAGCACCATAACTCGCTGTCCACAAGAGAAGATGGGGGCTGGTGACTACTACAGCCCGTTATACGAGTCAAAATAAAGTTTCTGTCCATTTCTTCCGGTTCTCTCTTAATAGTTCATGAATTCTAGCTAGCTGGCTAACGTTAGCTAGACTAGGAGTTAGGGTTAGGGGTTAGGGTTAAGGTTAGTGAACTAGCTAGCCATTTCACACCGGTTACAAAGGCACTGTAAACTTTAGGCCTAATAGCATTGTGCTAGAGACCCTGAACTAAAAGTATAGTACAAGAATGAGATCAAACAGCAGAAACCAACTAGTGCTTGTTTTCCCAGAAACCCAAGACCCTGGGTACAGCCAAAAACAATCTCTACAATCTCATTCAAGATTAACCAGCTTCCTCACTTAATCCAACCATTACACACCTCTCCCTATGCATGTCTCAATTGTCTCAGGGCTTAAAAATCCTTCTTTACCCTGTCTCCTCTCCTTCATCTACTCACTGATTGAAGTGGATTTAACAAGGGACATCAATAAGGGATCATAGCATTCACCTGGATTCACCTGGTCAGTATATAACATGGAAAGAGCAGGTATTCTTAATGTTTTGTACACTCAGTGTATACTAATATATGCAGAATTTGAAAAGTATTGATATACAAAATTCAATTATTGATATCAAAAATGCAATTATCGATATAGAAAATACAAACAATAATATCAAAGATCGAATTATCGATATAAAAAATGCAGTTCCTAATGTTTTGTACACTCAGTGTATATCAGGCATTTTAACAAGATCATTCTTTTATCTACTTTTTCATCCCATCCTTACTTGAAACCCAGTATAGACCAACAAAGTACAGAAAGGTCAGCAGAACAGAAACAGCTAGACATATTACTTAATGAGAGGAAGACCAACAGTACTAAGCAACACTGCCCTTATTGCAAGTGAGGACATTTTGTGTTTTACTTGTTCACCGGGCCCTGAGAGCCTTTAGACACACAGAACACATAATAAACCAGCCTCTATTTCATTACATACAGTACTGTAACACACATGAAACAGCCTTTCACGTTATTCATCACTACGTACCTTTTACTCACAATGCAGAGCTGGGCCAGCCGCTCCAGGTGCTGTGCCTGGGAAGCCTGATCCGATAGCTCCTCTGAGGACGCCCATCCTGTCCCCGCCGAGCCCAGCAAAGCCTCCTCCTGGGGGCCTGTTACACACACACAGGGCATGTAATCAGACGCAGTCAGCCGCCCCCGCTAAGTTTGTCTCTATCCTTCTCTCTCTCACGCTCTATCCCTCTCTCTTTCTATCCATCTAACTCCCTCTCGCTCTGTCTCTGTCTCTCTCCGCAGCAAGTAAACAGAATCCAAAAGGCTGGCGACGTGGTCTCTGGCAGGGCTGGCAGTGTGGAGATGAGAGTGGAGTCTGAACAGCAGAGTACAGTGGAGCCAACAGGATAGTGAGCAGGAGATGTCAGATAGAGAGCAGAGGGAAGAGGGCAGGGAGAAGATACTGTGAGTGAAAACAGCGCACTCACCACGCCCACAAGAGCAGTGATACAGCTACCAGCTTACACAGGCAAATACACAACTGACCTGACCCTGTTGGGAGTGGAGATTAGCCTACATAAAAGCATTTACAGCCAGATGTTACAGAGAGGTAAACAGAAGAGTAAAGTGGTTCAGAAATGACAATAAGCGGACTGAAACTTTGAACAGGATGAGGTAAAAGTAGGAATAGGACATAGGGTTGGTCCAATATCTCTGATAGAGAATGAGAGAATGTGGAAATGGGCAGAGGTTTGAACAGGAGATTGAAGAGAGAGAGAGACAGAAGGCTGGTGGAGTGATTGTGATGCCAGAAGCAGAGCAGCAGGCACAGTGCTGAATCAGGGGCCTCAGTATGGCGCCACACATCTCCTTATGAGATAATGCCTAGCATGGCCATTAGTCTTCCCTGTCTGTCCAATAACTCCTGCTACTTCCTGCCCATGCAACACTGAGCTGCTGCTGCATCAGCAGCCTCCCGGCAGACAGACAGAGAGCAGCCTCCCGGCAGACAGACAGAGAGCAGCCTCCCGGCAGACTGACAGAGAGCAGCCTCCCGGCAGACAGACAGAGAGACAGACAGACAGACAGAGATGAATGCAGACATCTGCAGAGGAGAGGCAGCAGGTGACCGATGACTGGCCACTTGAGGTGAACACTGTCTCAGAGCTGCACTATGTTTACAGCAAATAAAGATGGATCAAGGTTAAATGAATCACATGGTTCCTGTTGGGCTGTAAGGGATATGCCAGGCTCTCTGGCAGAGGTTTGTTTCTCTATTGTACAGAATCACACATTGAGCACTGGTATTAATTCAGATTTGTTTATAGCAAAAAGCAGGTAAACACCCCCACTGTGTATCATACTGTATAACGCAAAGTTGGCTTCTAGCAATTGCATTTCCTGGGGTACCATTATGACACTCCCTAATCACCAAGTTAGAGTGCTAATACCCCCTTAATGCCCCCATGGTATAGATCTAAATGTACTTGCCTGTGCTCCCCTGAACAGCAGTGAGCTCGATCAGAGCAACCTCATAGAACATCTTCTCAGCCTGAATGAACTGCAGGGCCTTGCCGTCTGTTTATACAGGTGAAGGATCAGTTGTCTCAGGGATTAAGTCAGTTGTTGCAGTCAGAAACTGTGTTGTCGCCAGGCTCAACTGCAAAGTGTTGTTGTTTTTTATGGCTCCTGAACGTGACCTCAGCAAGTAACAGGCTCATCACCGACATTCTAAACAACAAGCAACTGTAATCATATATTCATAGATTCTCTGTGAAGGCCTGGACTATAATAATCTGGACAGTGTCTTGTTTGTCCATGTTGATGTGTCAGAGTCTCTTGTATCTGATTCCATAATAACACACTAAATATTTGCTGTCCCTAAATATAGACCCAGGAGCCGAGTTTGTTCACTTTGTCAAAGGCATTCTGCATACTGATATAAATGCATCCCTTTGTAAGTCAACACCATTTACACAGACATACAGCCCTGCATAAATGGCCTACTTAAAGGCAGGAGCTCTCTGTTGCACGTGAGACCAGACTTTGCTTGGTTCTATTTCTGAATTGTTGTGTGTGACCTATTGACTTCTGTTAAAGTAGCACAGATACAAATGAAAGCTTTAAAAAAAGTATGTATTGTATACAGTGAATACAGGCTATAGAAAAACCACCATGATGTGGTTTATAGCTTTCTACCTCTGTCAGAGCTGAAAAACGAACCAATGATTTGACCTGGATCTGAAAAACACAGCAGCTGGTCTCACTCATGGTGTCACTAAGAAAGAGTCCTCTGCCTGCACCACTCCCTTGAGCCCAGTTTTAAGCGCACATGTAAGCCTGCTCTCACAACATAACAAAATGGTAGCCTATAAAGACAGTAGCCTATAAACCCCCATTATAACTGTCCATGTGAAAGGAAAGATGCTAACTTTTATAACTACACAGTAAAATCGCAAGAGTTAATTCAACTCGTATGGAGTCAAATTTAATGGGGTTTATATGGTCCCACCCCCATTTTGTGTTCAAACGACTCTGGTCATGGTGTTGATATTTTCTAAATTTAACTCCAATTGCCATTTTAGACTTTTCTGTGTTGTTTTGAATTAATAATTAACTCCAGAAGAGTACATTTCTCTTTCAGTTTACTTCCTATGAGTTATAAGGGTGTAAAGCCTTATTTGAATATTTCTAAAATGTGCCACCACATGGTGCTTTGTAATGTGATCTCCTCCCCTTCATCTATACTGATTGAAGTGGATTTAACAAGTGACATCAATAAGGGATCATAGCTTTCACCTGGATTCACCTGGTCAGTCTGTCATGGAAAGTTCCTAATGTCTTGTACACTCAGTGTATATGTGTATTTTAACCCATAATGTTTGAATTGAAGAATTTTAAAGGAAAACTCCACCCAAAAACTATATTTTGGTATTTGTTTCATTAGTCCGTTGTTGCTATAGTCCCAAAATGTTTTGCATGTCAGCAATCAAGTTTAAGATATATAACTTTCAAAATACAGAAATACAGTATGATGCTTTTTCCAACACGTTTCATGGCTTAATACTGCATGCCGTTGTTTCAAGTTCTGTAGGTTATTGATGGTCTTTGCGTTGTCATCAACTCCAATTCAATTGGGGGCACGGAATATTCTCATCCTAGTCCATTGTGGATTGATACTACAGTTTATGAAATAGCATAGGCTACAGTAATGAGTAATGCAAACTGTACTAACCATACTATTTGTGACGTAAATTGAGTATGTAGTATGCTTATTGGTCATAGTATGGAAATAGTTAATATGTCAAAAGTTACCGGATGTCGTACTACATTTGTCAAAATACAAAGTATACAAGCAGTGGACACTATTTCTGTGCTTTTAGGGCCCATAATGCAATTCTTCAGATAATGGGCGTGGCTTCAAAACGTTTTCAGATTTGAAGTAAATGGCGAAAAATATGCAGCTGAAGTCCGACGAGAGCGGATACAAATTCATTGCTTTAACTAATTTTGACAAATGTTAAGAAAATGTTGAGCAATGTAATAAAGTAATGACTTTTCAAATAAGTTACGTTGGCTGACAATTTGTTAGCTACTCTATCCTTACGAACTGCATAGCATATCATTACAGCAGTATGTACCGGTATGTTAGCTAGCTACCTAAAGTAACGTTAGTTGGCTACTAATACATCGAACATGCCAGTATATTATCTATATGCTATCTAACTAACTACCCAATGTTTATTGACTTGATTATTCACGTCATTCTTAGCTTAGCTAAGTGGTATAATCGTTGTGCATTCTCAATGGACATTGTTAATTCACCCTGGCTATCTACTCCAATTTCAGAGCACTCTCCTCTGAGTGTGCCAGAGCGCAGAATAACTGATGAATTTATGAAGGCTCAACACCCATTGAATATAACCGGTGTCAATAAATGTCGGCAAAAAAAGCGTAATTAAATTGTTGCCAGCAGCACAGTTACAGTCACCAATGCTCTGGATAACATGAAAACAGCCTAACCAGCTCTGTTAGGGCGAGTAAAATGGTCAGAGTGAGGTGTTCTCTCAATTGTGTCTGGAAGTAGCTAGCAAGTTAGCCAGTTAGCTTGGGTGCTTGACTGCCGTTGTGAGGTCAGAACGCTCAGATCAACCCTACTCCTCGACCAGAGCGTCCAGTAAGCGCTCTGAATGGTCCGAGAGTGAAACGCTCTGAATTTACGAACGGACAATCAGACAACGCTCTTAATTGACAAACGCCCAAAGCGCACTCTGGCACTCCAGCTTGAATTTACGAACACACCTGAAGTTGTATGATGTCTAGCTAGTAATTTGTTACGCTAACAAGCTAGCAAGAGGTTGCATAGCAACAGCATGAACTTCCGGTAGACAGGCGAAGCGCTAGTATTATCAACTGAAAGGATACCATTCGTTTACAGTATACTAAAATGAACCAATAGTATATACAGTACCAGTCAAACGTTTGGACACACCTACTCATTCAAGGGTTTTTCTTTCTTTTAAAAATGTTCTACATTGTAGAATAATAGTGAAGACATCAAAACTATGAAATAACACATATGGAATCATGTAGTAACCCAAAAAGTGTTAAACAAATCAAAATATATTATTATTTTGAGATTCTTCAAATAGCCACCCTTTGCCTTTTTGACAGCTTTGCACACTCTTGGCATTCTCTCAACCAGCTTCATGAGGTAGTCACCTGGAATGCATTTCAATTAACAGGTGTGCCTTCTTAAAAGTTAATTTGTGCAATTTCTTTCCTTCTTAATGCATTTTGATGTCTTCACTATTATTCTACAATGTAGAAAATATAAAAAATAAAGAAAAACCCTTGAATGAGTAGCTGTGTCCAAACTTTTGACTGGTAGTGTAGTATGTAGTATATACTCATTAAGTATGTAGCATACAGTATGTTAGTATGGGTATTCGAACACAGCTCCAGTGTTTTGACAGTCAACATTGATGAAATTGGCTTCAACGAGTATAGGCCCACATATGTTTACTCTCCCATAAATTGTTTTGTATGTGCGAGGCATGTTCTCAATAAGCAAGATATAGCCTACCAAAATAATAACAGGAGCTGGCTAAAATGATGTAATAGCCTACACAGATAAAAAGGGGAAGTCCACTCACTGTTCTGCTGCTGCCAAGCTTGATCTTTTAATAAAGCTTTATTTCTAAGCGTCTCATGAGCCAAAGCCTTTATCGATAATAATAATAATAATATGCCATTTAGCAGACGCTTTTATCCAAAGCGACTTACAGTCATGCGTGCATACATTTTCGATAGTCTTAACTACTTGGCGAATGCATTGGGCATGACCAAAAAACTGCCTTCATTGCTATGCTTGGTTTTTAATGAAATGAAAGCAAATGGGCACTGTGCGTCCCGGTTGGATAGGCTGCGCTTCCGTTGTCAAAATCAATGCCATAACCAACCACGTTACCACTACGACCAGCTTTCGATTGGTCTTAAATATCCCCACCAGCACATACTGAAATTGGCACTTTGGCGCACATTTTATTTATCTATATTTAACCTTTATTTAACAAGGCAAGTCAGTTAAGAACAAATTCTTATTTACAATGACAGACAAGTTCTTATTTACAATGACGGCCATTTCTAAGGACACACCTCTGATATTGCCACCCCTCCCACCTCAGCGCAAGCGAGCTCATATAAGACAGGTAAATTACCAATCCTGGCGCTAGGATTTGAAAATAGAAAAGGTTTAACAGGTCAAAATTGCAAACGAGTGTGCGTTTGACAATTGCGCTGGCTTAATGCCAGCCCAAAATAGAGCCCTATAGCTAGTATATAAAAGCCCAGCTGAGGTAGAGCTATTGGGCTGCTGACAGACAGTTGTGGGTTAACTCCAGGGTTTACTAGGCCACTGATGTAATTAATGACTGTTGATGGTCATTACAGACACAGCACATTTCACAGGCCAATAAATCAGATGTCTGGAGATGCGTTCACAACTAATACATTCAGTATGGATTACCAAACAGATATAACTGCATCGTATTTCCTGGCATATGAACTGTACCCACTCGATCCATCTCTTTACTTTTTCATGAAAAAGCGTTCAATACAACGTGATGCCTCAAGCAAGTTACAGAAATCACCCCAAAGGGAAATGTGTTGTGACACTCTGGCTCCATGGACTTTGATTATTGAGCCAGGGTTGTTCATTTTCATTGTTTGGGTGTATTTCTATGTTGGGGATTCTAGTTGTTCATTTCTATGTTTGGGTATTGTTCTTGATTAGTAATAGACTCCCAATCGGAGGTAACGAGTGTCAGCTGTCGGCTCGTTATCTATGATTGGGAGCCATATTTAAACTGTGTGGTTTCTCCTTGGTTTGTGGGTTTTTGTTCCATGTTTCTGTCAGTGTTACAGAGGACTTCACTATCGTCATTTGTTGTTTTTCGTGGTTGCTTTATTAAATAAAAGTCATCATGTTCACTCCACGCGCTGCGTATTGGTCCGCTTCTTCAGACGATCGTGACAGAAAAACCCACCATAGAAGGACCAAGCAGCGTGTCCAGGAGCAAGACAGCTGGACATGGGAGGAAGCACCTGGTAAAGAGATCGAGAGGCTGGCGATGGCCCAGGTGGGCAAATCGTGGTCCTGGGAGGACATGCTCGGGGGCAAGGGACCTTGGGGGAAGATCAAGGCCCTGGCGAGAGAGGAGCAACGGCGTCAGCAGGGCCATCATCGTTGGAAGGACGAGAGGCAACCCCAAAAAGTTTTTTGGGGGGGGCACATGGCTTGGACGACGGGGCTAACGGAGGCAGAGAAGGGGCGAATTCAAGAGGCAACCAGGTTACGGGGGTCACTGGCCAAAGTAGGGAAAGGAGATGTAGAGGCACGGCGTGAGAGACTGAGGTGTGTATCCAGTCCGGTCCGGCCCGTTCCAGTTCCCGGGGTAGAGCCAGTGGTGTGTGCCTCCAGTACGGTCCGGCCTGTTACGACCCCTCGCACCAAGGATACGGTGCGCTTCGCCAGCCCGGCCCGGCCTGTTCCGGCCACTCGCACCAGGGATACGGTGCGCTTCGCCAGCCCAGCCCGGCCTGTTCCGGCCACTCGCACCAGGGATACGGTGCGCTTCGCCAGCCCAGCCCGGCCTGTTCCGGCCACTCGCACCAGGGATACGGTGCGCTTCGCCAGTCCGGCCCGGCCTGTTCCGGCCACTCGCACCAGGGATACGGTGCGCGTCGCCAGCCCTTTCCCACCAGTGCCTACACCACGCCCCAAGCCTCCTGTGTGTCTCCCGAGTTATGTGCGTTCCCAGGGTCCAGCATGCCCTGTTGCTTCTCCCCGCACTAGCCCTGAGATGCGTGTCCTCAGCCCGGTACCTCCAGTTCCGGCACCACGCATCAGGCCTACGGTGCGTCCCCAGGGCCAAGCATGCCCTGTTGCTGCTTCCCGCACTAGCCCTGAGATGCGTGTCCTCAGCCCGGTACCTCCAGTTCCGGCACCACGCATCAGGCCTACGGTGCGTCCCCAGGGTCCAGCATGCCCTGTTGCTTCTCCCCGCACTAGCCCTGAGATGCGTGGTCCTCAGCCCGGTACCTCTGTTCCGGCACCACGCACCAGGCCTACGATGCGCCTCAGACGGCCAGAGTCTGCCGTCTGCCCAACGGGGCCTGAACTGTCCGTCTGCCCAACGCCGTCTGAACTGCCCGTCTGCCCAACGCCGTCTGAACTGCCCGTCTGCCCAACGCCGTCTGACCTGTCCGTCTGCCAAGCGCCGCAGGAACTGCCCGTCTGTACTGAGCCTGCAAAGCCGCCCGTCTGCCATGAGCCTTCAGAGCCGTCCGCCAGACCGGAGCCGCTAGAGCTCTCCGCCAGACAGGAGCAGCCAGAGCCTTCCGCCAGACAGGATCAGCCAGAGCCTTCCGCCAGACAGGAGCAGCCAGAGCCTTCCGCCAGACAGGAGCAGCCAGAGCCTTCCGCCAGACAGGATCAGCCAGAGCCTTCCGCCAGCCAGGATCCGCCAGAGCCGTCCAGCCAGGATCCGCCAGAGCCGTCCAGCCAGGATCCGCCAGAGCCAGCCAGCCAGGATCCGCCATTCAGTCCGGTGCTGCCCCTTAGTCAGGTACTGTCCCTTAGTCCGGTGCTGCCCCTTAGTCCGGTGCTGCCCCTTAGTCTGGTGCCGCCCCTTAATCCAGTGGGGTTTAATTGGGGGGTGGTCAGGTGGAGGGGGCTACGGAAGCGGATAGTGACTAAGGTGGGGTGGGGACCACGACCTGGGCCAGAGCCGCCACCATGGACAGACGCCCACCCAGACCCTCCCCTAGACTGTATGCTGGTGCGCCCGGAGTGCGCACCTTTAGGGGGGGGTACTGTGACACTCTGGCTCCATGGACTTTGATTATTGAGCCAGGGTTGTTCATTTTCATTGTTTGGGTGTATTTCTATGTTGGGGATTCTAGTTGTTCATTTCTATGTTTGGGTATTGTTCTTGATTAGTCATATGACTCCCAATCGGAGGTAACGAGTGTCAGCTGTCGGCTCGTTATCTCTGATTGGGAGCCATATTTAAACTGTGTGGTTTCTCCTTGGTTTGTGGGTTTTTGTTCCATGTTTCTGTCAGTGTTACAGAGGACTTCACTATCGTCATTTGTTGTTTTTCGTGGTTGCTTTATTAAATAAAAGTCATCATGTTCACTCCACGCGCTGCGTATTGGTCCGCTTCTTCAGACGATCGTGACATGTGTAATCTTATCAGTGTGCTTTGAAATCAATGTGCTTTGAAATTTCACTATAATCTGAGGTCCATTAAGATGGTATCACCACCTAGAAAGCCCCATGTTGCCTGCCAACAGTGAGGTGAGTATGACGAGGACCATCTGGAATAGAGGGTTACTGTACCAGCAGACTTCAGAGGTCAAAGCACTACTTCTGCTGGTCTGGGGTATTTATAGTTTGGCAGGACAACTACAACAATGCAGCGAACCAACACTGAGTAGGTACTAAGTCCTCCCCCCTGAATTGGTGATTGAACCATGTTCCAACAAGTTCCATTAAGCCAGACAGAGACCCCCTCAAATGGCAGGGTGAACTCAGTTTGGAGAACCTGCAGCACACATGTGATGTGGACAGGGTCAAGGTTGAGATGACCTTCTAAAGGGCGCTCTGAAGCATATGTGGCTTGTGCCACTATTTTCATAGAGTTAGCACTCTCAGTTAAAATATACTATACAATAGGTATGGAAATTGGAAGTGTTTTTGAAATGTGTTGATAAATGTCAGCTCTATATAAACATCAAGCTGTAACAGAAAACATGCTGAGACTGATTTGACTGAAAGTTCAGTTTGATTGGCTAATTAATTTGAGAGTGAAATTGAATTGACAGATTAATACACTTTCCATGGAAGAAATGGCAATAAACAAAAGTGGAGCCAAGAGGGCTTTTGGCCAGAGGGACAGAGGTCACTTCTGAATTCTGGCAGCTCTGAGAAGAATTTCAGCCACAGGGAGTTATTATTCTGGCATTTGATGCTGAGAGTTGATGCCATGGAGTCTGTGCTTGTGAATCTACTGTATGAGTTCCCATCAGAGTCAGCTAGATTAGGCTGACTCGTCCCCTCCCCCACTCCCCAGCGAACCTCCCAAAATGTTAAACTTAAAAGAGAGCACTTTAAAAGCCTGTTCAACTCTGGCTCTGCCCAGCCACATGAATATTCTGTTTTAATTTGTCAACTGTTTTAATTTGACTCTTTTATGCATCCCACTGTTCTGTCCTGTTCTCTGTGTGGACAAAAATACATGTCTGGATCATACTGAGTTCCACATCAAGTTCCATAATAAGAACTCAAATTACTTTGTGAATAGTTTAAAACTATCTACTTTAAATCGTTACAGTGTTACTGTTATACTTGCTGTAGTCAGAGTAGGTCACATGGTGACACAACCCATGACCTCTGCCTATAAAGCTTATATAATGTTATAATTCTGCCATAATTATTCATGATCTTATGTGTCTGGTTCATGTCCAAAGACAACCCTGTCATGACCGATGAGCCTCTTAACTAGATGAGTTCTGAGGACATGAGGAGACTATGAATAGATCTATTGATGAAGTGAGCCCAGTAAATCAACCTATTTTGGGAGATGGGTTGTGAAGAGCTGGGTCTTGCTGAGGCAGATACGTTGAGCTGGCATGTAAAGTGTTTCAGTGTCTCAGTAACAGAGAGGAGTACCATGGGAAGAGGTTATAGATCCTGCAACACTACACCCCCCTTATCTGAGCCCACTGGCCTGTCGTGGATAATGGCGGTGGTGGTGACACAGCCACTGCAGAATACAGGTTAATTAGCTTTCTCATACTCTGTGTTGTGGGGAGATAAGCGTTTACAAATCCTCTTAGGAGAAAGACACAGGGCTTGAACCCTATTCAAAACCTTGAGCCTTCTGGGACAAAGCTGTGATTATATTCTGGCCCAAGGACACAACTACCCCCCTCTTCCTACAGTGCATTCTCTGTACAGCAAATCCTGTTTTGTGCTGGAATTCACCATGCCCGCTGCCACCAAAAAAGGAAACAATCTTTTTCTCCCTATTGTACTCGCAGGTGTAGGCTTTTCATGGAAAAATAGTACTAATAGTTATCTGGAAGTGGATGTCAGATAAAGGCTAGGGGTTTGGACTCACAAGGCCTCCGTTTGTGTGTAAAGGATACAATTCTTTTCGGAGATGAAGAGTTCAGCAATCTGTAATCACAGAGGAAAACACATATCAGGATTGTATGATATGAATATGCTACACAATTAATTTACTATCTGCATTCTACTCAGATCACCATGTATGATCCTAAACAGCCCACTATTCTCATATCAGCTACTGAATTGTGGAGGGGAATGAACTCCTCTCTGTCAGTACTGTAGGTAATACCCTACTGACATACTGTGATATGCTATACATTGACCAGTTCAAACACTCTTATTCATGTAGAGCAGATTACATATTTATAAGTTTGGCATTATGGCATATTACTCACATTCAAAAGAGCCATTTGACATTTTTCTGTCTGTTCTTGTGCTAGAGAGACAGACAGACTCCTTCTCTTCACCTTGTACCATGCACTGTCAACAGGAAACATGCTGATCCTGTGCTGTGAGTGGCAAGATGACGTTTCACATTGGTGAAGGTTGTATTGTATAGTGTGGCTTGTGTTTGTATAGTATATGGTCATGTACAGTATGAGTAACAGGCATACACACTGCATTTGCGAATCAGTAAAAGTGTCAGTACTGTATGTTACAGTATGTATGGTATCAGTATTGTGGCGAGTGTGTTTTGTGTCTGTGTACACCACAAGAGTGTGCATGTGTCTGTAGACTCTGGACGTTTGTGTGTGCAGACATCTATCTACAGTATGCGTGTGTGTATTTTTGTGCGTGTATGTGCATGCATACATGTGTGTGTGAGAATGAGTGATCATCCAGCCATCAAGGTCGTTGGCTCACCTGATGCAGGCAGTTGGGCAGCGAGGTGAAGCTCTGCACGTGCCTCAACCCCAGCAGAGAGCTGAGGAAGCAGTGGAGGGCGGCCTGGTACTCCCCCTGCTGCTGGAGCTGCTGTCCCAGCTGAAACAGGCCCTCCCTCCCCCCGTTCAGCATCCCCAGTCCCAGCCAGAGGCAGAGCTGCCTCCCATCGGAGCTCCGCTAGCCTGGGACAAACGTTCCACTCCACTCCACCCCACTCCACTACAGCCCCAGAGCAGAGAGGGAAAAAATAATGAAAACAGCCCAGAGATAAAAACAAAGCAGAGATAGGGTTTAGAAGAGCCAGACTACAGAACGGCTTCCTCTCAGTCTCATCTTTTCACAGTAACTCCAAGGCAGGTGACGAGCTGAGCTGAAGAGCAAGCGGAGGCAGGCTGAGAGAAGACAGATCCATGCCCCTCCCTCTCCTCCCACGCTGCATCAGGAAAGGAGGAGAGGAAGTCCGAGGGGATTTGTTCACTGACTGACAGAGCCCTCGACCAATCACTGCTTTACTCACGTACAGTTGCCCAGCCAGTGTGTGAGAGCAGTCTCAGCATTTAGAAAACGGAGCTGTCGGCTGAGCACTGTGGCTGGCTTTCCCTCACTCCTTATGAAACCAAACTGCAGGGCTTTACGCGTCTGCAAGTTTTCACTAATAATGAAAACTACTGTGAATGCAGCACATGTTTAATGTATTAGATGTGTTCATTTAATTTAATTTCAGGATACACTGACCTAATTTGTCTAGTGGGGGACGGGGGGAAGAAATCTTAATGCTTTACTTATGGTTTAGAAATGAGAAGCCTGTGAAAATGTGCTATGTCCATACACAGATTTAAACAAGTGCTTGAGAAAAAATGCAGTATGTCTACATGTTTCCCTGCGTAACATAAGCACATGGACCCCATTATGGTCTCCAAAACCGTTTTAACATATATTCATGACATTTATATAAAGAATTGTATTTTTTTATATCAATAATTACATATTTGATATCAATAATTTAAAAAAATATATATCGGTTTTTATTTATTTATGATAATGACCTTCATGAGGGCGGGATTGCATTTGCATGCTTCTATATACAGTCGCTAGTGAAAGTCTACACACCCCTTGTCTTCACATTTTTCTGCCTTAAAATGTAATCTAAAAAGGGATTAAATTAGATTTATTTTCTATAGATCTACACAATTTGCTCCTCTTTTTCAAAGTAAAAGAAAAATTATAGAACATTTTCCAAATTAATAAAAAAATTAGAAATGAAAATGTATTAATTGCGTGTCTTCACACCCCAGAGTTAATACGTGGTGGAAGCATCTTTGGCAGCCATGACAGTTGTGAATCATTTTGAATAAGATTCTTCTAACCTTTCACAACTTTAAGGGCAACATATCCATTGTTTTTGTCAAAAATACATAAATGATTGGTAATCATTGATGGACAACAATATTACATTCTTGTCACTGATTTTCAAGCAGATTTAAGTCAGGACTGAGACTACTAGACCCTTTCATGAACACTTATCACGTCTTGGAAAGCCATTCTGGTGTGTCTTTGGCATTAAAATTTGTGTAATTGTTCCGCTGAAAAATATAACTATCCCAGGGTTAGCTTTTCAGTAGACTACGGCGGGTTTTCCTCTAACTTTTTACCTATCCTTTGCTCCTTTCATATTTATTTTGATTCTAACATACTCCCCAGCCTCTGCCGGTAACAAGTATACCCATAACCTGATGCTGCCACCACAATACTCATCTTATTCAAAATGATTCACAGCTGTAATGGCTGCCAATGGGAATCGCACCAAGTTCCCCTATCCTCTTCACGCTGTATACAAATGACTACGTGGTTAAGTTCCTGGACGACACCGCTGTCCTCAGGCTTTTAAACAAAGGCTTTGACACCAACGGCTACAACGCAGAGATTGAAGGATTCGCCGGATGGTGTAATGAACATCACCTACAACTGAATGTGAAAAATACTGAGGAGATGATCATTGACCCTAAGTTCATTGGGGACCACAGCCCCATTGTGGTACACGGAGAGAACACTGAGTAGGTGAACTCATTCAAGTACCTGGGGGTCCACATTGACAGTGGGCTGTGCTGGTGCACCCATGTGGAGAGAGTGTGCTCAGGCATCCAACAGCGCTTGCACTTCCTGTGTTGACTCGGGGTCTATGGAGTCAACCAGATCACGCTCCTCTTTTATAGATCCACCAATGAGTCAATCCTACGCTACGGCATTGTTACATGGTTTGGTAAGAGCGTCTGCTAAATGACGTAAATGTAAATGTAAATGGTAACCTGACAGTGCAGCTTAAAGCCCAAATCAAGAGACTGACCAAGACAGCAGGGAAGATTATAGGCATAAAACGTCCTTCCTCTCTCCAGGATATTTTCGAGGAGACCATTAGCAGCCAAGGTCATATATTGGACCCCACACATGCACTGAACACAGAGTTCCAGCTGGGAGCCTATATGCAGGCTGAACAGATATCAACACTTTTGTTTGTACCCCTGTCAATAAAACTGCTTAACAGCAGGGGAGACAGAGAATTTACAGTGGCTTCAGAAAGTATTCACACCCCTTGACTTATTCCACATTTTGTTATGTTACCGCCTGAATTTAAAATAGATTAAACAGATTTTTTGTCACTGGCCTACACACAATACCCCATAATGTCAAAGTGGAATGTGTTTTTTCGAAATTATTACAAATTAATATGTCTTGAGTCAATAAGTATTCAACCCCTTTGTTATGGCAAGCCTAAATAAGTTATGTTTGCAACAAGGCACTAAAGTAATACTGCAAAAAAATGTGGCAAACCAATTAAGTTTTTGTGCTGAATACAAAGTGTTATGTTTGGGGCAAATCCAATACAACACATTACTGAGTACCACTCTCCAAATCTACACTGGAGTTGCTTACCAAGAAGACAGTGAATGTTCCTGAGTGGGCGAGTTACAGTTTTGACTTCAATCTACTGTCACGCCCTGACTCAGGGGACGCTTAAATGTTGAGTCAGGGTGTGTATGTTCTATGTTGGGTATTTCTATGTTGGTGTTCTATTATGTGTATTTCTATGTTGGCCGGTGTGGTTCCCAATCAGAGGCAGCTGTAGCTCGTTGTCTCTGATTGGGGACCATACTTAGGCAGCCTATTGGCACTAGTGGGTTGTGGGATCTTGTTCCGGGAAAGGTATGTTGTTTGTGTCTACCTTGGACTTCACGTTTCGTTTTGTTTATTGTTTTGTCGTTGTGTTTATTAAGTTTAAATAAACATGTATGCATATCACGCTGCGCCTTGGTCTGACCCGTCTATGAACGAACGTGACATCTACTTGAAAATCTATGGCAAGACCTGAAAATGGTTGTCTAGCGATGATCTACAACCAAATTGACAGAGCTTGAAGAATTTTGAAAATACTAATGGGCAAATTTGCACAATCAAGGTGTGGAAAGCTCTTAGAGACTTACCCAGAAAGACTCACAGCTGTAATCGCTGCCAAAGGGGCTTCTACAAAGTATTGACTCAGGGGTGTGAATGAGATAAATGAGATATTTCTGTATTTCATTTTCAGCAACATTTTTTTTAATTTTTATAAAAACATGTTTTCACTTTGTCATTATGGGGAATTGTGTGTAGATGGGTGAGGAAAAAAAATGATTTAATCCATTTTTAATTCAGACTGTAACAGAACAAAATGTGGAATATTGTAAGTCAAGGGGTATGAATACTTTCTGAAGGCACTGTATGAACCTTTTGTCTGGGTGGGGAGGGCGGTGTACGATGGGGTGTTAATTATATTATTGATATAAAATAATATATATATATATATATTGATATAAAAACTTCAATGAAAATATGTAAAAACAGCTTTCCATACATACATTCATGTGTTTAGTAATGCGTGACAGACAGTGAGTGTAAACACTGAGCCATTAGTAACACCCGCTGTATGTGTAGACAGAGAGCACTCCACTGTCCAAAGAAGGACAACTAATATTTATCCACCGGCTGGGTTGCCTCAGATGTTTGCACTTCCTTCACACTCTTCTAATCAACATTAAACCAGGGACAATTTGTGTCCAGGGAGAGGGTGGGATATGCCCACAACACTTGACATGATCTAGTTGAATATGAATGGGTCCTGACATCCAGACCTGTCCTCTTCTATGACGGCAGAGCCCTGCAGAGCCACAGTGGCTCTGGAACCAAATGAATGAGGAAACACAAACCAAATGGCCAGAGTCAGTCTCCATTTACATCTGATCCACCTTGCTTCACAGGATATGATTTTAATCGCTGTGAATGCCAAGTCGCAGGAGGATCAGAGAGCTTTAAAACTGCATGTTAAGGTCAGACTGAGGGAGGGAGCGCCACACCACATAGTACTATGTCTCAGCTAATAGCATCAAGAGGACTGGTGGGAGTTGATTATGCTAATGCTGTCCACACTATTCATTCTCCTCTATTCTGAGGAATGGGACAGATACTGACTTCTCTTCAGATCCACTACATGGTATGATTCAGTATGCTGGCAGAGCAAGAGCCTCTGATGTGATGGAGCAGCTCTCAGACTCTCATTGTTCAAGCCATTTTGTCAAATTGAAACAGAACAGGATCCATCTGCTCATTAGAGTCCAACCAAGCTGAAAATACACCTGCCTGATCTGATAAGGCCTTGGATGTTCCTCTGTCCATGCTAACAACAGGCGCCAAGCCATGCCATGGTAAACCAACCAACATTTCATGCTTTCACCTACCACAACATACCATGCATCAGCACTAACAAGACCCTACTGTAGTTATCCCACAGAAAAAGTTCAAAGTAATACTAGGTGACTACATTCCATTGTCCTCTGATAAGGTTACAGCAGGATGCTACTATAGCAAAAGAGAAAGCTGCATTATCGTATTATATATACTGTAATTCTAGTCACGTTTTGAGAGGTTGGGTTGGCAATATCACTCTTGATTGAAATAGCTACAGCTCCACTTTACAGTAAAGAACAAAGTAGTTGTGCTGAACACATTCCTTCACTTCTGTAATAAAAACATTAATAAAATGAACGCCAGATGCCTTTTCCAATATCCCTAGGGTGACCACTCCTTGCTGACTGCATGGGACTATACTGGAGAAAATGAAAGTCTACATTCACACATCTGCGTTGTCTCAAATACACTTTTGTTACGATTTCTTATGCAGTATAATGGTCATTTTAAATACCATGCTTTAGATTTGTAAGTCTTGCAGTGTTCCAGACCCTACTTTGTACGTATGGTGCAACTTGTTTTGACAACCATATTGATTGATGTTCAACGGCCCTAGAATCTACCTATAATTGGAATATTGATTGCCTGTCTTGCAAGGTTCCTGGACAAATACTATACATCAGTGTGATCAGTAGACACTGTCTAAGGCCCCTGTCTTCAAACAGGCCCATACACCACACATTTAAATGTATGGTAACCTGGAAACATCAAGGATCTGTAACAGATATATAGTTCATATGTAAACTTACAAACGTTTCTGCACAGTATCGGAGGGCACTAGTAATCCAAGTGAACATTTGCCATCTGTGGATGTGCCATTTCATCCCCAACGGACCCAGTGTCTGAACCAACCTGACATAAACCAAAGCTGATTCATACAGTACAACATTTCCTGGAGAAGTCAATTTTTCATAGTCCAGTAAGTCCAGAGAAGGAATCTGCTTCGCTTGTGTCCTTGTGTTGTTGGACATCACTGCGCATGGCCCTACATCAGCACATACTATTTATATTTACCGCACCATACAGATATACACTACACTACAGTATGCAGTCCTCTCTCAACCAATGGTCTTGTGCTGGGGAAAATGTTACATTCAGCGAATGTCAGTGAATATGTCCCTAGTTACAAGAATGTTAAGTTAACTGACTATACCTCAACCTTCCATGGATATTCTGTAGAAGTTGCTTTCCTTGTTTTGTCTTTTACTTTCCCCAGTGATCAAAGACCTGAGGAGGGACAGGGAAGGAGGACGCTATTAAATCATTAAGAAGAACATTTCTTCTAAATCAATCTAGAAATGCAGAGGTAGACTGTCTCCTCTACTACAGGACAGCAGCCTGGTGAGTCCTGGGCTGGGCTGCAGAAGAATTCCCTTCAGGATTCAAGATCTGGAAGTTTTTATGTACTTGGCCTGGTCATCCCCCTCCTAGTGAAGATACTTTTATGACCTCCATGTAATCAGCAGTAAATGCTGCCACCATCTGTCTCTTTTTACTCAATTATCTGATCCAATGACTTTTTCTGACAAACACTGACCCGGTAAGTACTGTAAGGCAAACCCCAGCTATGTCTATGTCTATGTCTATGACACATTCATAAATCAACCAGTATTCACTTTTTGGTCAATTCTCAGAGCCAGTCAGCTTTTCTAGTAAACACTGTCCTTGAGCACAGTGCAGGAGGTCATTTACTGTTGTTCATCATAGATCAAGTTCAGTTTTGGCTTCAGGCTAATTGTTCCTTTCACACTCATTACACTTGTCACATAATAATGGCTTGTACACACAAGAGGTCCTCCCCAATGTCTCTGTAAATGTTCACATTGAGTACAACAAAATGATTGTGTTTATAATGATGATCATTATCATTACACTGTAAATACCATTCCCATTAATTTGCTCAGAATTGATTAACTACGGCCTGTACTTGCGCTGAAGTTAGAATTGTGTCTTTTGCTTCACTCTAGTGCCCCCCAGTGGATAATGGAGAAACATCTTCCAGCTTCAGTGGAAATCGCCTTTCTACTGCAGTACTGCAGATAACTGACCCCCTAGTAACTACACACAGAGGCAGTGCTTATAGCAACTGCAAATGTGTTGTACTTTTTGAGATTTCATAATGGATATTTCCGTGCGGTAGAATAATAATATCTGCTACTCTCAGCTCTTTATTTCTAATGATGAGCCACGTACAGAGCCAGGAGAAGAGTGCAGAAGAGCGTACTACATGGGATTACTGTTGCTGTGTGGAGAGCTAATTGGGAGACAATGTGAAGTGTTCTGGGATGCCATTTATCTCCCACTGTGGAACTAATCAGTCTCGCACAATGACATAATACACTGGTGAAAGCCTATCTGATCTGCTTGCTGGGTGCTTCTGACAGCATCAAGCTCAGGGCAATTAACTGTACTTCTCCTCTCTCCCACTCACTCTAGTTCTCTGATGCCTCCCCTCAGTGGTACTGCATCTATTAGCCTCTCCTCTCTCTGCCAATCATACCCTGCTCTCTCTATTCTCTGACCCTCAGCTGTGTTGTGACAGCAGCTCGTATTGCACTGCTATGAAAGCCGGGTAGGGAACTGTGGACCGAGGGTGGAGCACGCCAGCATCATTGTCATCCTCACAGGGTTAGAGATCTCATTGATCATATTGCACGCAGCATCATTAACAGCAAGCACCGCCATTTGTGCTGCAGCCCTTCACACGCACTAATTCATGGCCATGATTATGTGAGCTCCTCCACTCAAGTGGAGAAAACGATGTGAGAACCAGGGGGAAAGGTAATCCTATTATCGTAGAATCACGACATTCCAGTGCCAGCTAACCTGTATTTACAATACAACTCAGTATAGTCCCATGACATGCAAACCAACCAATTATACCTTGCAGAATAAGGCAATACAGAAGGGGCAACCATAATCCACGTAAGATGAAACAAACATGGCCATTTTATCTGTCAGATACATTATTCTCATCTTTGACTGTTGACATGTCTGTGCTGTACCTCTTAGCTCATGTATCAGCCGTTACCTGAGAGTGTGTTAATGGCTATCTCTTAAATGTATCCACCTCTAGGCTACCCATATCTGTGGGCCCATGTTCACGTTAGATAGGCTGGCTGATGGCCCTCTTTGTATCTAAAGAAGGGGAGCAGGGGCCGTCGCCTGATGGCATGTGTGGTGTGACAGGTTATTGCTTTGCCCTCTGGGAGATGAGCAAAATGGACCACACACCACCAGACAATCACAGCCAAACACTAACAAGATGCACCTGCAGGTTATGGATGTCTTCTTCCTTTCATGGTCCTCCTCCCTCCTTCGTTCCCCCTCTCCCTGAGTCATGGTACAGGCGTGGGCCACCCGGTCACCCCATCCAAGCTGCTGGATTTGGTCGATTTCTCCCAGTTAGTGTGACTGAGTGGGAAAATAATGATGGGATCTGGGAGTCTTTCATTAGGAAAGTGAAGGCCCCTGGTTTGTGCAATGTGTGCTGATCAGGGCTGAATATAATGGATGCAGTCAGCAGAGCCTGCCTGGACTGACAGGAAAATCTCAATCACAACTCAAATCAAACAGCTATGGAATCACAACACTGTGGCCTCATCAATTCCAATTAATTCCCCCTCAATTAGTCTAAACTGTGGCACACAAACCTGTGTGATACCTTGAACCGCAAACAGTTGGTCCAATGTCAACATCCTCTGCCAGGGGTATGATGTTCGATGTAACCCACAGTTTCTGTTTTTGCTCATCAGAACAGACTGTAGTCACATTAATGTTGAATTAATTCATACTCTCTTAACTGCAACCATTCTCTGTATTTTAATTAGTCAAACTGATTATATCAAACCCTCTTTTCCACCAAAGTGCATACTGTTTGTTAAATGACTCTTAGATAGGAGTTGTCAAATAACAAAATGTGGTTATGATGAATCTGCTTCTATACCTTTCATGCATATTCGTGGATTTCGATTGCAGTGGGAATTAAGCCTCGGAGCAATCGCTCTAAAATAAATAGGTCTGTTTAGCGAGAAGGTCCTTGCGCTCTAGCACAGGGATGTGCTAATTCAACCAAAATATGTTTTTCATTATTATTATTTTCCACAGTGCAATGAATCCATTAATTTTATGAATACACAGAGCACATGATCCATTTCACTTTATTGCTGCTAATTTACTTAAATATGTTTTCATATATTTAAAATCTCATTAGTGTTTGTTGTGAGATATTGATAGCGGACTTTAATTGAACTAAAGGGTGATAATGTTTATTTCCCCCTTGTCCTCTTCTCTCCATTTCAGCTGTGAGTTAATATCATCATGGTAACAATAACACTCATACAGTAGGTCAGCCAGAGTCACTGTGACTGTATTTGACACAGACATCAGACAATGCTTGGTGCACTGCTGATAGGGCAGTACTGTTGCAGATTTGACATTACTCACATCACTACATTCATAAGAGGCCTAATATCCTGGCTATGCCATCGAGGAAAGTATACCTCCTCTCCATTGGGTCAAACATAAACGTTTCATAAGAACTACTGTAGCCTGAGCCCAAACAGGTACAGCCACCCTGACAGATACAGAGAAGAAGACACGTGGTAAAAAGGTTAAGTATTGCCTCACCTCCAGCTCAGTTAACATAGACCGTGACCATGTATTGCTGTTGCCTCAGGAGCTACAGTGCCTTCAGAAAGTATTTACACACCTTGACTTTTACAGCCTGAATTAAGAATTGATTAAATTGAGATGTTCTGTCACTGGCCTATACACAATACCCCATCATGTCAAAGTGGAATTATGTTTTTACAAATTCATAAAAAATGAAAAGCTGAAATGTCTTGAGTCAATAAGTATTCAACCCCTTTGTTATGGCAAGCCTAAATACGTTTAGGAGTAGAGATTTGCTTAACAAGTCACATAATAAGTTGCATGGAATCACTCTGTGTGATTGATGACTACCTCATCTCTGTACCCCACACATACAATTATCAATATTTAAACTGTATTTAAGATACTCTTTGAAGAGGTAGGGTTTCAGGGTGCTTTCGGAAGATGGACAGGGACTCTGCTGTCCTAGCTTCAGGGGGAAGCTGGTTCCACCATTTTGGTGCCAGGACAGAGAAGAACTTGAACTGGGCTGAGCAGGAGCTGCCCTCCCATACGGGTGGGAGGGTCAAGAGACTAGAGGTGGCAGAACGGAGTGCTCGGGTTGGGGAGTACGGCTTGAGCATAGCCTGAAGGTAGGGAGGGGCAGTTCCTCTTGCTGCTCCATAGGCAAGCTCCATGGTCTTGTAGTGGATGCGAGCTTCGACTGGAAGCCAGTGGAGTGTTTCGGAGGAGCAGGGTGACATGGGAGAACTTGGAAAGGTTGAAAATCAGGCGAGCTGCAGCATTCTGGATAAGTTGCAGGGGTTTGATGGCACAAGCGGGGAGCCCAGCCAACCACGAGTTGTAGTAGTCCAGATGGGAGATGACAAATGCCTGGATTAGGACCTGCGCCGCTTCCAGTGTGAGGTAAGGTTGTACTCTATGGATGTTGTAGAGAATGAACCTGCAGGAGCGAGCCACTGCTTTGATGTTTGCAGAGAACGACAGGGTGTTGTCCAGGGTCACGCCAAGGTTCTTTGCACTCTTGGAGGGCGACACTGTGGAGTTGTCAACCGTGATGGAGAGGTCTTTGAGCTGGTAGGTTTTCGCCGGGAGGAAGAGCAGCTCCATCTTGTCGATGTTGATCTTGAGGTGGTGGGCTGACATCCAAGCTGAGATATCTGCCAGGCACGCAGAGATGCGTGTCGCCACCTGGGTATCAGAAGGGGGGAAGGAGAAAAGTAGTTGAGTGTCATCCGCATACAATGATAGGAGAGACCATGGTGTATAGAGAGAAGAGAGAAGAGGAGAGGGCCTAGAACCGAGCGCTGGGGGACACCAGTAGTGAGAGTACGTGGTTCAGACACAGATCCTCTCCACGTCACCTGGTAGGATCGGCCTGCCAGGTAGGATGCAATCCAAGAATGTGCAGAGCCTGAGACGCCCAGCCCTGAGAAAACAGTTACAGAGTTTAATGGCTGTGATAGGAGAAAACTGAGGATGGATCAACAACATTGTAGGTACTCCACAATACTAACCTAATTGACAGAGTGAAAAGAAGGACGCCTGTACAGAATACAAATATTCCAAAACATGCATCCTGTTTGCAACAAGGCACTAAAGTAATACCGCAAAAAATTTGGCAAAGCTATTTACTTTTTGTCGTGAATACAAAGTGTTATGTTTGGGGTAAATCCAATACAACACAATACTGAGTACCACTCTTCATATTTTCAAGCATAGTGGTGGCTGCATCATGTTATGGTATGCTTGTAATTGTTAAGGACTGGGAGTTTTTCAGCATAAAAAAGAAATGGAATGGAGCTAAGCACAGGCAAAATCCTAGAGGAAAACCTGCTGCGGTCTGCTTTCCACCAGAGACTGGGAGATGAATTCAACTTTCAGCAGGACAATAACCTAAAACACAAGGCCAAATCTACTGTGGAGTTGCTTACCAAAAACACAGTAAATGTTCCTGAGTGGCCAAGTTACAGTTTTGACTTAAATCTGCTTGAAAATCTATGGGAAGACCTGAAAATGTGATGATCAACAACCAATTTGACAGTGCTTGAAGAATTTTGAAAATAATAATGGCCAAATGTGGCACAATCCAGGTGTGGAAAGCTCTTAGAGACTTACCCAGAAAGACTCACAGCTGTAATCACTGCCAAAGCTGCTTCTACAAAGTATTGACTCAGGGGTGTGATATTTCTGTATTTTATTTTCATTAAATTTGCAAAAATGTCTAAAAACATATTTTCACCTTGTTGTTATGGGGTATTGTGTGTAGATGGGTGAGAGAATAAAAACAATTGAATTCAGGCTGTAACACAACAAAATGTGGAATAAGTCAAAGGGTATGAATCTATTCTGAAGGCACTGTATATGGTCAGTGTCACGGTCAATCAACCACTGATACAGGATTTAGAGAGAAACCTGCCTGGCTTTATGGTAACTCATTAACGAGGTGATTATCGAAGGTTATGCGGATGGCCAGTGGCTAGTCGAGACACCATGTAGTAAATGTTTATGTGTTACTCATCCTCAAAGCTCTCCTTTTTCCCCAACCCCCTATTTCTCCAAGTGCATCATAACAGGTTTTTTTTATCCTCTTCCTCAATCCTGGGATGAAGGGCAGTTAAATTTAATCGGCTAGAAAATGTAGTCCGTTTTTTTTAATGGTTGCAACTGTAACCTACTTAAGACTCCTCGAAACTTGCTGCTATTCTACATGTGAGTGGTTTAGAGAGTGAGCGAGATTGGCTCATCGTTCGATAGAGCTGTGAGGATTCTGCTGATGACATTTCCATTAACAACCACACATAATATGTTTATTGATCCCGTCAGTTTGGGCCTTTAATTTCTCCCTTCCTCACATGGGTTCTTACAGGCATGGAGGCGTTGGGGAAGGGGTTTATAGATTGCCTATACTGTGGATGCATTGGGGCAGTAAGTTGCGCTGACAAAGCATTGGGATGGAGGCAGATCTGAACAGCAACATGACAACATCTCACAGGGAATTACAAAGACAATCCTTTGGGTCATTACTTTGTGATAATACAGCATGTTGTACAGCATCATCATAAAGAAGAGGGCTACACAGTCGATTATTGAGGTTTTATAACATAGGCTAATACTCCTATTGCTCTGCTGTACATTCTCTTACTGTTGTAGATGGGGCATGGATATAAACACGTTCACTGTTGTACCCGTCCGGTCATTGAGCTTGCATGCGATGAGTCCATTGCATCAACTAAATGTCATACAAAATCTATCATCATGAACCCAGACATGAATGAATCCAAGAACAATGCAAGAGCAGCTTCCATATTTCATGTGTCTGTACTCATTCAGCTGGTCTGGTGTTAACAGATAGACAGCTAATGTCACATGCCTGTTAATTGATAGTGAATTAGATCAAATTGTGAAATTGTGTATGACCAGGTCTGCTGATGAACTCTAATCAGGTTAGCATGGTGAAAAAGGCATCTCAGACCTAGGATATGGTTAGTGAAAGGGTTTCTATCTGTGGGACAGGAGAGTAGCAAGTGGCCTAGCTCCAGAAATGGAGGTTTGTTGCATTAGCACAGGGGTAACAGAGATGTCCAGGAAACACAAGCAGCCAAGGATCTGGTCCATAAATATCAGTCTGTCTGTCTCTAGACCAGAGAGAACATAGACAAGGTCATCCAGCACCAGAGGACCAGGATACCTAACTCTGTCCACAGGGTCAGTAGATCTTCCAACCG